GTGTGTGTGTGTGTGTGTGTGTGTGTGTGTGTGTGTGTGTGTGTGTGTGTTGTGTTGTTTGTTTGTTTGTTTGTGTGTGTGTTTTTTTTGTTGTGCGTGTGTGTGTGTGTGTGTGTGTGTTGTGTGTGTGTTTGTTGGAGGTGGGAGGTGGGAGTGTGCGCTTGTTGGGTTCCATGGCTCGCGTAGTTTACTGTTGCATGTGAGAGCGAGATTGTTAGCAGTAGAGTATATGCGGAGTGTGTAAATATTGGTAGTAGCTGTGTGTGTTTGAATTGTGTGAGTATAATGTTGGGTTGAGTGTGCTTAAACTCTCTGGGATAGTTTGGTCCTTATGAAGAAGAACGGTGCGGGGTGCTTTACGACCGAGAGTTTGGGCTAAGAGATGTGTGACTGTGAGGAAAAGGGTCTTAGGGTTTTAAGGTTTAAACACATTCGTCCCTTTTATCTTCGTCTACTCTCCTCATCCACCGCTGATTGTTGGACGTCTTCTCATTCGCTGCTTGCAGACACCCTGTCCTGGATTGATGTGGATGTGAGTGGTCTTAATGGCGATGGTCTGCCTAAGGCGCGTGCGGGGCATTGTGCGGCTGTGGTGGGCACGAGAGTGTTTGTGTGGAGTGGCCGCGACGGCTACCGCGAGAACCACAATAACAGCCAGGTACGCAGCAACGGCTGTGCATGTGTGTGGAGTTACATGGTGAAGCGACTGTAGCCATTGCAGGGGGTTGTGTATTTGTGTGGCTATTTGTTGGAGTATATGATCAAGCTAGTGGAAGTAGCCGTATCGTAGCGCGGCGCCAACACACAGTACAGGTGTCAACACACAGTACAGGTGTCAACATACAGTACAGGTGTTGGTGTGTGTGACTGGCGGATATCATGTGATTTTGAAATCGCCCATCCAGTATCAGCCGTCTGTAGGATGTCGTTCATCACACATGAATAGTAGAACAATCGGGACTAAGAATATCACTTATAATCCATATCAAGTCAAGCGGTATTCTGCCGTAGAACATCTACATGGAAGGTACATGCTATATATATCTATATATATCTACATGGAAGGTGCATGGTATATAAATATAGACACACGAAAGATACATGGTATATAAATATAGTCCCACGAAAAGCACATGGTATATATATCTACATGGAGGGTACATGGTATATATATCTACATGGAAGGTACATGGTATATATATCTACATGGAAGATACATGGTATATATATTTACATGGAAGGTACATGGTATATATATCTACATGGAAGGTACATGGTATATAAATATAGTCCCACGAAAAGTACATGGTATATAAATATAGTCACATAAACACACATATATCTAACTACCCATACACTCAACACGGCAGGTGTGCTGCCAAGATCTGTGGCTGTTAGAGACAGCCCCTCCGCCGAAGAGCTCTGAGTTCAGTCCTCAACGCATCACCGCCCTGACAGTCATTGGCCGCTGGTCGCCTGTGCCTACCGCCGATGCCTACCGCCTGCAGATCATGCTGTGCCACGACCAGTCAGAGGTGTGTACGTACCAACACTCTGACCAGGTTGTGGGGTGTGTATGATTATTACACATAAGTGTGTGATTATTACACATAAGTGAGTGATTATTACACATAAGTGTGTGATTATTACACGTAAGTGAGTGATTATTACACATAAGTGGGTGATTATTACACATAAGTGTATGACTATTACACATAGGTGCGTGATTATTACACATAAGTGTGTGATTATTACACATAAGTGTGTGATTATTACACATAAGTGAGTGATTATTACACATAAGTGGGTGATTATTACACAAGTGTATGATTATTACACATAGGTGTGCGATTATTACACATAAGTGTGTGATTATTACACACGGGTACTTCTGCGCAGAGAAACGTAGCAGCTATTGGCTATTGAGCGTGTATCTCTTGCAGTCTCACAGGGCTCACACATACAGACGTAGGTGCTGCGGGTGTTTGGTTGATGTATGCATCTTCATGTGGGTATTGCGCCATTATGAGGGTGGCGGTTTTATGGAGCTTGGGCCAAACGGTGAGAGTGATAGGGGTGTTGTCATGTACGAGCGAAGCTCATTTGAGTCCTCACACCACGTCTGCGTATAAGCATGGCCTACTTTTGATTGCCAAGATATATACACGTTCTGTGCTCACTGGCATATATATATATATATATATATATATATATGTGTGTGTGTGTATATATGT